ACCTACAGTCATCTTATAAAATAATTTATAGCACTCATTTGGCTTCCTTTTTGGAACTTTCTATTTGGGAAATAAAATCAAAAATAATAAAAGCAAGGACAACCTTAGTTTTCATTTTAATAAAAATGTTTTTACCCAAAGTACTGGAGTGGATGTCTGAAGATTGCACTCTCCTTTCTAATGTCAACAACACAAATGTCTTTTCTAATGGATGCAATCATTACTTTGTGTCATGGCTGTGTTGTATTTTGGGGTTCTTTTTCTGTGTTGAGAACCATAAAAATATGAGAAAAATTTTCAGTGTGATAAAAATTAAGTGATAGGATTGTATCTAATCTTCAGTAAAGTGGGATACTGGAACAGAGCACAAGAAGAGTAACCCTAATTTTAAGATGAAACTTCATGGATTCGTGTCAAATACATAGAAATTGCATTATTAACATATATTTTACTCATGGAATAACATAATAGTGAGGTCTGCATTCAAAGATTCAAGAGATTTTTTACAGTCTCCTATCTCTTGTAAATGTTTTGTGGATGGAATTATTTCTCATTGCTAAAAAAGAAAATACCATTTCACAAAGGTGGGTTTGTTATCTACTTGAATATTGGTGAGCTTTTTTTTTTTGCTTTTTTGCTCTGTCATCAGCATTGTGCTAAACTGCTTAAGGAAATCAACCCCATTCATGTTTTTGCCCTCTTTTCTTAACCAAATTGGGTTGGTACTGGGAGATTTTCGCTGCAATAATGAAAGTCTTCTCTTTAGACTAGTCCTGGGAAGTGGAGGCTAAATGGATCAAGAATCTACTTTCACTTGATAATATTACTGTAAGCAAATAATAATAATAAAAAAAATAATATTAGCAAAGCCATCATTAGAGATGGTGGTGGTTCTCCATAGCTGATGTACAACAAAGACCCCTGAATAAAAAGCAGCCTGCATGAGGCACAAAGAGTAAGAGAGACAGAAGGACAGAGCAGTTCAGACCCTTAATTTGTCCCCAAATCAAGAACTAAGAAAATACATGGGATATAAAATATGAAGTACATCTTTCTGGTTCTCAGGAAGCGCTATTCTAATTTTTGTTGCATTTTACTTTAAGAATAGTAATTCAGTACACATCAAACACACTATTTGCTACCTCTATAATTTAGTGCATTAGTAGAAAATACTACTTTTGTGCCAGATCAGGTTATGCTGAGTAATAAATCTTTTTTTTTAAGCTATGTGTCTGTAAGTGCACTGTTTCAGTGAGAGAAACTATAAAGTAAATTTTCTGGACTGTTACTGATCTCCTAACAACTACTCAAACTGCTACATTAGAAGTTTTTACTGTCCATGCTGCACAGGCCACAGAGCTGTGTTCCAGTCAGGCATCTCTCGTGTCAATCTTGCTACTATTTATTATCACTAAAGTCCCACCAATATGCCAACAGTGGCAGCCCTTTCCCACATTTAAGAAGCCTTCTGAGTTTCAATTTTACTAAAACTTCTAAGTCACACAGAGCAGGTAAAAACAGACACACCACTAGGTAAAAATTTTTCAACTTGGGGTGTGGAAGCCAAGTGATGATATAAAAAGATACAGTTTAATAGAGGAAAAGAAAGGGTAAATCCTTTCTTTCTTTTCTTTTGCCTTTTTGTTTTCTTTGGGGTTTTTTTTTTGGATATAATTTCCTGCAGGACAGGCCATAGAGTAGGATTTCACTCAATAGGAACAAAATAATATCCACTGCTTGTTACTGCCCCTCATTGTCTCTGGGCAGCATGGATGGACTGAGTCTTCAAATGGGATGTGAATATGTCACACATAAATGAGAGGGACTGCACATACATGATTTCTCTGAAATTGTCACAGAAATGAAATTCTTCTGGGTAGGTAAGGATATATGATTACAGATACCTTGAAAGCTGCAAGCAAATGGATGGAAAGTTTTCCTGATCAAACTGTCTTTCAGCCCAGTTTACCTGGTTTCTATGACAAGTCATACTATGAGCCCTTCTTTTTCATCAAAACATGACTGGGTGGGGGTATCATTATTTAACTCATCTAGGTATTGACAATATTTCGGTATTGTCCACAGAAAATGAAATTATTATTAGAGATTTAAATGATGGGATGACATTTAAAGTGCAGTGACTGCTCTTTCTATGACAGCATCCAGAGAGAGCTTTTTATCAGAATTGCTACATAGTCACAAGAAATTATTTTCTTTAACCTCAAAATATTTTGTAGCTAGAAATTTTCAGCCAGGCTTCTGTAATTTCATAACTTAATTATGGTTGCCTTCTTAGACTAAGAAACATTTATTAAATGAGTTAGACACTGATCTAGATTCATTGAATGTAAAATTTTACATAGAAATTAGTGATTTGAGATGGTAATCACTTCCCCCTCCTTAATCTATTCTGAGTCAATTAATGTGGTCATTAGAGACTACTTGCCCTTTGAGCCAGCTCTGAGAAAGACCAGAGCAAAACCAGGCTGCAGTAAAAGACATTCTGCAAGGATGCTGGCACTTGGGTCATGTGTTAGAGCTCTGAAACCTTTCTTAATGTACTGCAGATGTTACTAGGCTTTGAGCCTTTTTAGCTATGTTTTCATTTACTGTTTAGGTGGTCACTGTGTTACAGTGTTGCCAAGAGAGCTTTTGAACCTGTTTAATGTAAGAATTAATTATATTAATTCATTCAGAAGTAACTGAAAAGACTTGAATAGTCAAAATATCAACTGAAGGCATTCTATACTGAATTCAGTAGCTAAACCAACAGACAGGACACAGTTTATCCACCTTAGCAAACAGTTTTTGTGTGTCAAAATTGCCACTGCTGCTTAGCCCACTGAGGTGTTTGGCTGGAAGAGAACTGTTACAAGTGGAGTCTCCAGAGTCAGTCACAAAACAGATGTTCCAGAGAGACTGAAAAATAGTATCTTTGAGTAAAGACCCATAAAAGCATCCTTTTCCTTGTACCCACACCTTTCCAATCGGAGAAAACTGTCCTTACTGCATTTCTACTGATACTCGTATTTTTTAAATTCAGTTCTCAGCCTTCATAGGTATTTTCTTTAGGAGAAAGAGGGAAATAAATACTTTTGTGCATGAAAGGTGAAAAACACAGGGACAAAGATTTTACCAAACACTGCTTCTTCTTGGAGTGTTAAATGGAAGTGTGGCTGCATTTTGCCTGTAGCTGCAAATACAGCTAAGAAATCTTACATTGTGTTCAATGGGACCTTTTCCTTTTTTTAAACACCAGGGCACTGCTGTTCAAACTAATGTCACTGTTCTTTTGTGCTGCCAAGCAGTCCCCAGAGGATTTGGCTACTATTGCCTAAACCAGGCTCATTTGAGAGGAATTGATTCAAACACTGATAACGTGAAAAAACCTGAAGGAAGCTGAAGGAACATTAGAAAACATCTAGAGGAAAAAAAAAGAAGAAAGCTGCTGAAAATTTATTGTCCCTAGTTCTGTTAATAAAACTGGCTACTGGGCTCATTCTTCTGGTTATTTTTCTTACAAGGGAGAGAAATGGATGGAAGGAGAAAATGACTCTAATCCAGGGGAATATTCTAGCGAACACCTCCAAAACATCTGACTATTAATATTAATAGGGATATCCTTCAGTGAATGACACAGATGTAAGACTCAGGGCCCACTACACCACAAACTCTGCTTTTAACCTCATCCAATTAAAACAGTAACATTTTACCTACAACACAACTCTGTTTTTGTTTTTTTTTTTGTAAAGGACTGTACAAGCTGCAAAGAAAGGAGGAAAGCAAGTACTGATATTGTAAATAGAAGTACAGTACACTTCAAACCAACAAATGCAAAATTAATCTTCTATATTTGTCTGTTCAATAAGAAATTCAGAAATATCTGTATTTATCAAGAAATTAGCTACAATCCAAATGTGCATATGTGTATTCATATGAGAGACACTACGTATCATGCACACAAGCTATAAAAATATTCTATATTTAATTTGAAATCAAGCCCTGAATCTTGTGCCACCTATGAAAGTTAGATCAGTGTTAACTCAATGGTCAGAACTGCATTGGGAGAGCAAATACCAGTTTTTCTTATAACATTTATCTGCCTTGGTCATGTAAGATCACCCCAGTACTAGAGCTGAAAGAAATACTAGTACAAGAATGTTTTATGCCAAATCTCAAACCACTAGTACAAAAGAGTGTAATTTATCAGATCCAAAGGAAAACACTATCTGACAGTGCTACAAAAGTACTACTATTCATTACATATCTAAAGGCTACTGATCAATAGAGACCACTATGCTCTTTTATTCAATAGGTTCAAGCTTAACTGATTTTCATGGCTTCTTGAGTGCTTTTATGACTAACAAGGCATGATCCACATAGTGCTTTGTCACCGGTTTGCAAATAATCTAATAAAGTGACAGTAATAAATCACAAGTATCATTAATAAACCACCACCAAACAAAGCAGATAATTCTCCAACTACTTAGAGGAATAAACAGGCTAAACACACAGTACTACTTAAGAGCTGTGAGTTCAATTCATAGTAAACATATACATCTGAGCTGTTAGAGATTTCCTATATTGTAGTTGGCAAATACTGCTTCTATGTTTCTTCAGGACAGGTTCATACAGAAAAAAAAAAAAAGAAGAAAAAAGAAAAAGAGAAGAGATGAGAGAAAATGAAAATCACATCGAGTAAACCAGTGCTTGCAACACAAGAATATAATCAGCTTGGTGATGCTTGTATGCTGTTAAAATAACATTTTATGCCTGTTTACTTTATAATTTTGTACCTCATAAATACCTACAGTAGCTAAAACTGTCAGTGGTGCCACTTCAAAGGGCAGTGGCCCTCGGAACAAGGTCTTTGAGGTTTGGCTTCGCCACAGTGTGGTTAAAGTTATGACAATGTTTCTTTAAATCTAAAATCTAGCTGGCATAAATCCATGAAAAGCACACATACCTTCAAATGTGAAATTCAGGATTCATTTACTTACCCTTCAGGTGTGGATTTAATGAAAGCTGGGCATTTAACATGGTAACAAGCTTCCACAGACTACACAGAAAAATCCAGCTCCAAGATACATACAGCAGCAGCAAAGCAGTTATTTTGAATCCATCATCTCTACAAAAAATCATACAAATAGCAAGTATTTATTTGAGGTGGAATCCTAGAAACACAAACTTGCAGCTGTCACACAAGTTATGGCTGGGGTGAACTCTTGATAGCATTTTTCTCTATAGTGAATAGAAAGTCAAATTACTCAGCTTTGGACCATTTTGAATAAACAATTAGAAAAAATTGTTTCTTTTGATTTTGGTTCCCAAATTTAGCAGAAAAGTGGTACAATTACAAGGGGAATTCAGCTTCCCTGGAGTTTTTGCCTTGACCAAAATTTTTTGTAAATATCACCAGAAAGCTTTTACCTACATTATTTTCAATTCAGTATTTTAAGGCTTTCCTTCTTCTGATAATAGGATCATCTGAATTCTTGAACATCAACCTGAATCAAATTCCAATTAAAATCTTTAGGTGCTTTTCAACCACTTCTCTGGTGATCCTTGAGCAAATAAATGTTTGTGTCAGTGGCTTGAGGTAAAATACATTATTAGAGCCAACACTAAAACCATCTTTCCTCTCAGCCTCAGAAACAAACTTTGATTCAATACTAATAGCCACGGAAAAAAAATAAATTAGGTGGTGGCTAATAGCAGAGTGAATAAGGGTTTTCTCTCTGAAGATCAGAGGACTAGACCTTGGTTTATTACAGCAAAGGGGACAGGTATTACAGATGGTTATTTACAGGCCAAACTCCCAGACTCCAAGGTAAACCATTCCCTTTTCATCTATTTTGGAAAAATACACATCCTAAATAAATACTTAGTTCTTCTCTTTTAAGGTGGTAAGGAAAACTGGTGAGGCAGAACCGAGGAGGAGCTGAGAGTGGCAAGGAAACCATTGAGCTGGAGGCAGGAGAAAGGGAGGGAGATGAGCTCCCAGCAAAGCCTTTTGGTACCTTGGAAAGCCCAGCTCCTCTCTGTAGCAGCCTGAAACAGCAAATTATGTTCCCAGCAGCTACCACATCCTATTGCCCACGTCTGGGAGTTTTAAATGGGTGTCTGTGGAGTTCTCTTTAGAATACCAACACGCTGAGACAGGAAAATGCTGTGGTATATGGAGCCAGAGCAGCAGTTCCCACAGCCATGAACTGGACCTCAGTATCTCTGCATGCATTTAAGGAGAGCAAAACACTTTTGCCAAATTTATTGCTTCTTGATATTTTGAAATTTACCAGAAGAAATTATTGGTCAAGACTCTTGAGAGAAAATTAATTGATAGGAAAAGAAAAAAGAAAACTCTTAAAAAAAAAAAAGGCAAATAAAGGAGGCCCTAAAGAACTTAGTGCTGACAAAACAAACCTGAAACTCCAAGTCAGTGCGACCATCACATCTCTTATTCAGCATGTGACCTTGTTATTTTTTATTCAGAGGTCACTGCTAACTTTAAATGTGACTTTAGCTTTCGGGCAGAGATGGCCCTGAGGGCCAAATCCACAGCTGAATGACAGACATGTATGAGGAAATGGATATTTATAAAACTACTAAAATGTCTAAAAACATTTAGGGTAGAGTTAGGTTGCCTGCTGACATTTGACCTGCATGTACTTCCTATACAATAATTTGTTTAAAAACAGTGTCCTTCATTAGTTTAGTTATTCACTTAAGCCATGGAATTATTGTGGTTTTTTTTAATGCTTATTCCTATATAGGCAAATGAGTTAAGAGCCCCCAAAAGCTTGGGTCTTTCCTTCTCAGGATGAACCCCTTCACAAATGCTTTTGATTGCAATTGTAGTCTTCTCTCCTTTGTCCTACTTTCTTACAGTTGCCCCTTTCCCTTTAACAGAAATTTAAAAGAGATGTTGTCTTTGCACTCCCCACTCCAGCACAACCCTTCCCAACATCTACCAGCCAGGCCTAAAGTATAAAAATAAACTAACTTGTTCCTCCTGTGACAATATGAGGACGAGATCTAAAGTGAGCAATGCCATCTGATTTCCCTGCCTGTTTCAGCAGGCGGCTTGGATGTTTCCCCCAGGATTGTTGCTCACAGCATCCCTCGGTGCCGTGCGGCCGGGCCCAGGGGATGAGCTGCAGCAGCGCGGCCTTCATCCCCTGCCCCAGCATCCAGCGAGCTGCCACGCTGGCTCCAAGGGTGACACACACCCCTGAAGCTGTGCTGCTTCACCCCGGGGGAACGGCAGGAGGGTGGGAATGCCGTGGCTCCTTGGAGAGCCAGCAGCACGGCTGGGCCCTGACCCTCCTGCCGTACCCGCGACATCGCCGCGCTCGGTGGCGGCTCTGGCTCCAATTAAGGCGGCGTGGAGGGGGATCTGAGAGGAGGTTAGGGGAGGGTCTGCTGGACCCACACTCCTGTGGCTATGCTGGAAATTAATTCCCACATATGTGCTGCAGATGGGCCACAGTCGCTTTTCCAGGCTGCAGCCTGCAAATAAACTTAGTAGCAGCTGGGGAGGGGAACCAGCAGAGCCTCATGTGCTTTAATGGGTTCTGTGTTTCTGCATATGGGAGCATTCCCTCCCCTCTCTAACCCATACAAAGCCTTCTGTAAAGTCCCATAAACAAAGCTGTGGATATAATTTTGAATGAGAAACTTGCCACTAGGGAAAATGGTGGTCAGGAAAACACAACATACCTTTTTCTCCAAGAGGGTGTTTTGGTGTGTTTTCGTAGATTAAAACCAGATTTAGCCGGTTTGAGCAAGCAGGCAAACTTCTGACCTTTTTTCACATAATAAACCATCCCTCTCCGCCCAGCTCTGGTATCTAACCTGTCCTGAAATAGCCAAGTGGAGCATGGAGCCTGTGAGGGAAGGCAGCCTCATTTCTAGGTGCAGATGTTTGTCACCACAGCAAGGACACGTCCATCTCCCAGCCCTCGTGTCCTGCTCCATCCAGTAAAGCAGTCCAATGTGTGATTAGCTTTAAGTTTCAGGAACTGGTCCTCAACAAGACCCGAAATCAAACATTTATGGGAATGCTTCTCTGGATCAGCGTTCAGTACTTGCTGGTTTTTGAGATGCCAGAATGCACCAGAAAGGGCTGTGGCTCGGAGTCAGGGAACTTTTAAATCAAAGCATGATTTTTGCAGCTCCACATGGAATTCAAAGTTAGGGAAGTCTGCACGATTCTTATGTTATGTTTAGCCAAGCAAAATCAAGTTGAAGAAAACTTCATCTTTCCAAACCTGCACCTGAATGCAATCTGGATGTCTTTTTTTCTAGTTAAATAAATGCAAGGAGATAAATATGACTCCTTTTCAGAGGCTTCTGTACTCAGCAACCTTTGAACCAGGAGTTAAATAGATAATGCAAAAAATGAGGTACCTGACTTATTTGAAAAGTCATTTTTAGACAAAGTGGCTGCCCTATAGCAGGGGCTCTAACAAAATGTGAGCAGCCAGGTATGTCCATGCACATGTCTGCAGATGTAGGCAGGTAGGGAGGGAAGACAGGTCTGGGGTATTTGCACTGCTAATCTTTCTGTGAGAGACCACTATTTTTTCTCTTTAATGCATTCAATTCTTGACAACAAAGAGCACATGGGTAGATTTTAAGTGATGTGTACCTGGTTGCCAAGCAGACCACCCTTCAGTTTCTTATTCAAGAGAGTAAACAAATTCAAAAGCATCATCTCTCTACTGTTCTAGATCAATGTAACAAGCTTAACTTCAACTTCTTTCTTTTTTTTCAACATGCAAATGTAGCAAAGAGGTTACTGATAGAAATGTTGACACAATAGTAAAGAGAGAATCCGTTTGTTGTCTAGATTTTCTCAGAAAAATCACTGTAAATTTGAACTATTTAATCAAGCGTCAGTAATAGTCTCCCTGACGATTATGAGACTGCTAGAAAAATCATAGCCCACATTAATTCTGGGTAGTTTCTCTTTCAACATTAAATTAAGAAGACAAAAAATATTTAATTTTACTGCTTCTCTCAGTGGTTTATAAAATAAGAGTAGAACAAAATTGATTATCCAACTTTTTGGTTGGTACTTTGGAAAAGTTGAGACAAAAAAAAACCAGAAAAGGTTGAAACCAAAAACAACTCCCCCTCCCAAATCAAACAAACATAGAGAAAAGCAACAAGAAAAACAAAACATGTCAAGGTAGTAGAGAATCTAGGGCCAAGAAGTCATCTCTGATCCACAGAATTTTTGGGTTTTTTTCTTCTTTTCCTAATTTTAAAGCCTATTTGAGGTTATCTAAGTACATGGGCCAGTGTCTGTGAGGATGCCAGTGAAACACAAAAAGGAGTGAGGAACAGGCTATTTTGAAGCCATAACTACTCAGCTGTTTTCTGTTTGCTTTGCCTGTCAGAGCTGTGGTAGGTGTTTCCCATTTCTAGTCTTCACACCTTTATTAAGTTTGGGTTGCCTGTCAGAAATATTTCAGATGCTGTGGATGGAGACTTCATCTTGGCCCAAGGAAGAAGAGGTTCCAGTGTCCCCTGGATTTCCCCTGTGCTGATCAGGAGACTTCACTTACCATTACAAGGGCTTACCTTTGTGATACTGGTGTTGGTGCTTCCACTGGCTGCTGCAGCCTGGAGCAGGGACCTGAGAGCTTAAGGCTTGTGAGCCTTCACAATGAAAAGAAAAGAAAAGAAAAGAAAAGAAAAGAAAAGAAAAGAAAAGAAAAGAAAAGAA